ATATATATATATATATATATATATATATATATATATATATATATATATATATATATATATATATATATATCATGAATAGACCCTCTGAGCTAATATCTGAGGGTTAAATATTTATAGTCATAATATAATTGTATGATCAAAACTTAACAGTTTTTTTGTTTTGTTTTTTTAGTAAAAGGGTACTGTTAAATGTGTGGTGTATTTCTGTTTGTGGGTCTTGTGCATCGCAGCAGAGGGACAGGGGAGAAATAGTGACACAAGTTAATTCAAACAAGAACCGTCACTATTGAAACCACAATGTGTCAGCTGTTCAAACTTATACTCTCTTAAGGTACGCATAATATTCACTAAATGAAAAAAAAACATATTTGGCAAAAGACACATGAGGAAGATGGAGTCATAGCTTTGCTTTTATCTAAGCTTTAGTGATTGTGTTTTTTTTTCTAACAAAATTCTAATTTTCATCACTTCACTTTTTGAGGATTAGGTAGATGAAGATATTTTTTTTACTTTTCCCACTTATTCTGTCAGGGTCACTGTGGGGCTGGTGCCTTTCTTTGGAAGCCTATGTACGAGGGGCGGAGTACATCCTGGACATTACAAAGACAGACAACCATGCACAAACACACTCACACACACACACACACACACACACACACACACACACACACACACACACACACATACATACTCTTTCTGACATCGTAGTAAGGACCATGCGTTGACTCCCATTGACTTCAGTTTATTTTCAGTCATTTTCAACCCTTTCTATGCCCTCACCCTAAAATTAACCCTAAACCTAACCGTTACAAATGCATACATCACCCTAACCCTAATCCTAACCAATTGACACCTTAGCCCTAAACCTAACCATTATAAAATAATATATATCCTCACAACTGGTCCTCAATTTGATGGTGAAATTGGAAAAATTGTTCTCACTCTGAGGGCTAGACAGGTACACACACACACACACACACACACACACACACACACACACACACTCACATACAGCTTTGTTTTCATGACAAATGGGGACATTTCATTGACTTGCATTCATTTTATATGGCCTAAACCATTTCTTGACATCTGTGTTTTAATTTCTTTGTATGTGTGGATTGCATGGATCGTTACAGACATCTAGTGAAAATGTCATATCAACAGCACCTCTTGACATGGTGGCATATTGAACACCCGCTGTATACATTGAACATCCCTTTTCATACTTGTCATTCACCAAACATTGTCTATTTAACACTCTTCCATGAAGGCCAAATTTTTTGAGTGCAACAGATAATTTTGTTATTAGATCACGTCTTTGCTATGGATCTCAGATGCTCCCCCAGAGTTGCCATCAGCTTTTAACCCGTTTCTTTCATTATTGGACTATTCAATTATACTGGATTTAATGGAAGACAGAGATACTTTTTTTTACTAGTTAAGTGAGTTTTGATGATAACTGACTGTGTTAGATTTTGTTTATGAGAGAACAAGAAACAGATAAAACACAAAAAAAAACCAAAGCACATATTTACTTTTCAGATCTTTTCTTTCAAAGACAAATACGGGACAAAACGTTATGGAAACTTAAGTGGTGTGGATGCCTTGGCAGGGTATTTTATCCACTCTAACAAATACTTTTAGCAAGGACTCTATGGGGTAACATGACAATATGCTACAGGAAAATGTTGGGATTTTTACCAGCTGCACAAAGGGCCTGATCTTCAAAGATTCCATATAAAAAGGTGGTAAAAATGCATGTACTTTTTCTTTCTTTCTATTACATCCAACAAGTTATCATGTTGCAAGTGACCTAAAAAAATTCCTGCTTAAATGATAAGAATTGCAAACCAACTTGGTTCTGGCAATACAAAGAGCAGATTGCGTGTTATACAGGTATTTTGAAAGTGGCTATAAAAGAAAGATGAGGTCCAAAGCCTTGGAGATGGAGGTGAAATGATCATTACTAAATAAACAACAATGATAATACTAAATAATATTTGTAGTTTACTTTGTAGTAAACATAACCATGCTTCGTGCAGCCAGAGTTATGTTTTATTAAATTGAGGGAGAAAGAAATCCCTGTTGTAAAGAGATGTGCAGTCATTCTTTTGCTGTTTGGTTTAATTGTAAGAATGTCTGCTGTCCCATCATCTGTGCAGGCCTGTTTTTTCTTTCTTATTATTGTTATTTTCTAAGGTCCAAACGTTTACATGCACACAGAATCTCTCTCTACTCCCTCTAATCCATTGTAGCAATGTCTCCTTTGTGGCAACAATGATCACAGATATTTATTTACAGAACATTTGCATATCCTTAGCTTGTGTCTTGATTAAGGCACACAGCCAAAATACAAATCATTTTGCATCTTCTTTGAAGATCTGTTCTGCGCATGCAATTATCTTTGCACTTTATTTAAGACATGCACACCTTCAGAAGATTAGGCCTAAAGTGTTCTTTAAAGTGTTCTTCATCCAGACTTCAGTCAGAGACAGAAGACTTCATGCAAGAACGAAGCCGACGGTGTCCAAATGCCAGAACAACAGGAGACATGGCGATGAAGATGATGTTTGCAAAGCGAGCAATGACCAAAAGATACTCAACTGAGGAGCCTCGGTTGTAGTTAAAATAGTTGACAGAGATTATACTGGTTCCCCAAGATATAATGAAGAGCATGACAAGCGCAAGAATCACCTAAGAAAGGAAAACAAAGTATTTGGAATTATGGAAGGTGTAAGAGAAACATTTGCAAAAGGAGGGTTTATTTACTGTGCCATACTCTTTCAGGCACATCTATCAAGAAATGTCTCACCTTGGCAGCTCTTCTCTCAGCTGGAACACGCTTTATAACAGGTGCCTCCTGAACAGAGTTCCGCGACCGGCTGTGAGTGTAGAGTGTGTAGAGAGAGGTCATGTTTGTGATTACCATCAAAATTATTGGGAAAATTTCATGGATGGCCATAGATGTGGTGGCATAGGCTAGGCCAGTGTAGTTCGTTGGGAAGTTCCACACACAGCCCAGCAGGGGGCGAGTAGTGCTGCTCACTAACATCAAGGTCTGAAAATGGAGAAGAGGGAAATAGGGAAGTATATCATTAATAAAATCTATGCGTACTGCTACATAACAGTAGGTTGGTGGTGTCTGTCTCCAGCAGTCATTGGGAGAGAGGCAAGGGTACTCACAGGGCAGGATACCACCACAGAAAAAGACAGAGACACAGGACAAAGAACAATGGCAAATAACCTCAGAATTGTGTTTTAAACTATCAAAGGAAACCCTAGTACCAGGGGAGGACCCATGTAATACGGGGAGAACATTATGTGTCTCACCTCTGTGGTGTTTTCATTGCCATTAGTGGAGAAGATATGAGCAGGAATGGAGTAAATAAGGTTTAAAATCCAAATGATGCCCAGGCTCAACAGAAGTGTCCTATAGGTGCTCCACGGCCCTTGGATGTGTCCAATTGTCGGAGCCACACGCCTCAGAGTATGGAGGTGGAATGCACTGAGGAAGAATGTTGACCACACATTGACTGATCGCAGCCAGACCCAAACTCCCATCAGGAATTGACACCATCCTTTGGATGAGTACAGCTGGAAAAAGGGACATTTTTATTGGGTGAGTTAAGGGCATTCTGGGAGAACACTGAGCAATGCACAAAATAAGACCATATCCACTGTGGACCTTTATTAAGATACAACTAGACTTTATGTCTGTAAACTATCACTAGCCATGTTTTCTAATCACCCTTAAAGACATCAAACCATAGCAATTTTATATTTTAAAAAGCAATTAAAGATAAAAAAAAAAAAAACATTTTTAAAAACACATAAAACAGTTGGACCACAACCTTAAACTAACAATACCATAGTTAGGAGTTTAACTTCAACAGTCAAAGGCAGTTCTAAGCAAATAGGTTTTTAACTTTGACTTAAAGGGGAACACCGTTTTTTTTTTACATTGGGTCCTTGATTTTACGTTATTACATCATGTTCTGCTCACCCATATTAGTTTTGTGTCATTTGGAGCTGTTCTGAAGATATTAGGTTTGGTAATAAACAAGTAACGTCTTCCTAGTCTTCCTATGGGCAACAAGTTGAAGGCACACACTAAACTGTTCATAATTTATTCTTTATGGTACTCCAGCATTCATAAAATGTAGTCGAATCACTGTACCTCAGACATCCATGGTTATATTTTTTATAATTTTTTAAAACAAAGCAACGCATGTATGATGTCATCCGCACGCTGGACTGGAGTTGTGACAGGCTGCCCGGGCCACAGGCTGCTATGCTCTACCCCTTCTATTCATTCGGCTAGCTATTCTGAATCGTTCAATTCCATTTGGAGAGCGAGATCATCTGTGGTAGTAGCACTAGACATCTTCCAGGCATGTGAGTAAAACTAGCAGCAGTTCAGCGGACAGGATGAATGAATGGTAGCCGATGCGCGCGAATGACGTCATACACACTCCGCTTTGTTTTTAAAAAATAGAAATATAAAAAATATAACCACGGATGTCTGGGGGACAGTGATTCCCTTACATGAATGCTGGCGTACCATAAAGAATAAATTATGAACAGTTTAGTTTGTGCCTTCAAATCATTGCCCATAGGAAGACGTTACTTGGATTACAAAACCGAATATCTTCGGAACAGCTCCAACTGACACAAAACTATTATGGGTGAGTAGAACATGATGTAATAACATAAAATCAAGGGAGCAATGTAAAAAAGGCTTTCAGCACTTCTGAGGCTTTCAGTCTTCTGAGAGTTTTTTCCAGATAAGTGTAGCATTTGAACTCAATGCTGCTTCTCTGTGTTTAGTTCTACTTCTTGATTAACAGAGCTGACTTGAACTAGAAGAACTGAGTTGCTGGGTGGTTGATACACTGACACTAAATCTGTTGTATTTTGGTCCTGATCCATTACATACTAACAGGGATTTTGAAGTCCGTTCCCAAAGCTACAGGGAGCCCGTATAAGGACCTCAGAACCAGACTGATTTGTTATACTTTCTTAGTTCTAGTAAAACGGCAGGCTGCATCAGCTGCAGCTAGACTTTTTAGGGAAAACTATGAAGACACTGTTGCAGTAATCAATTCTATAAATAATAAATTCATAATCCTGATTTAATGAAAATGTTCTTCAGTTGAAAAAAGACTGACTTTGTCATGGGACTTTTCTAAATATGTGTACTTGTGTGCTCTCATGTGCTTGTGTACTTGTGAAACATAATCAGTATCAGCCCTAGTTCTATTCCAATTCACAAGAACAGCAGACCGAGAACGGACAAAGTCCCCAGATGTTGTTCTCGTATGCATCAGAGCAGACATTAAAAGTTCTCTTTTCTGTTGCCGTTGTTCAATAAAAGTACATTTTAAGATCATTTGAGGCGAAAACATTATACTTTTAAGTATCACCATATGGCCCATTTACCGATTTAATGCGTAATAAAAATTTTTTTCCAAAGTTGAGATGACCACAGCAACCAGCGGACATCCGAGGGTAACCGCAGCCAGCTCTAATCCTAGCCCCTCTGCAGCAGCTCTCTCTCGGCCTGGCCATGTGTGAAGGACCCCTGGCTCTGTTGCTGACTTTTTCGTTTTATTTGGTAAAATGTTCAGTTGATTTGTGTTTATCTTACTGTGTTAACTATTATTCCCCCAATAAATGAAAAAAGTAAGAATTTATTATTATCAAGAGACTATTAATAACAGGAGGGAAATGCAGCTCCAGACGAGCTGAGCAATTGGTGACGTCACTATTACGCTTCTGTTCCTATTGACCCATATTTATGCTGCATGCTCTGTTCTCCCCTAGTCCACACTTTCCTGTGTCCTTCTCAAAAAAATACTTGGTGAGGACATGAGTTTTACTCATTTTCTTGTGATTCGAGAAATGGCCTAGAGTCTTGGAGCTGATGACTGACTTGATTGCTCATTCCATTCACCTGGCTAGTTCTGCCCAGCTGCTGATTACCACTCTTCTGTTTCACCTGCTCCAGTCTCTATTCAACCTGTCTACTTCCAGTCATCAGTACCAAATTATTCGAGCCCTTGGTGAGAGTTTCCTAGTGTATATTATTGTTTCTGTTGCCTGATCCTGACCCGTTCTGCCTTTGGACCTCTGAGCCTGCCTGTTCCTATTCTGATCTGTTAGCCTAACCAGTCTTCAGACTCCTGCTAGATTCTGCCTGTTTACCGCACCTGGAACTGCTTCCTGACACCGACCTGGATTCCCCTTTGGTACCTCTTTGGATCTCTGATCTTCTGGCCCGGACTACTGTGAACCTCCTTGACACCGTCTTTGGCTTCGCCCTATGAATTTTCCTGCCTTCCTTCATCTGCTTGGATCTGATCTCCTGCCTGTTCTTCAGTCTTCGGAACTTCGACGTTTGTGACTCTCTGGGCATCGACTGCTGCATCTTGTCGGGTGGAATCTCTCTCGTCCTCTGGGCACGGCCTGAACTTTAAGACCAGGTTTATGACTCACATGTTCATAATCTGCCTCTGCCAGATTGATGTGGTCACTAACCTGTTTGTTCTTCCTGCAGAGGTTCCCGCCTTAGACGCCCTAGCTGTTCACCACAGATCCGTTGTTTCTCATAAACGCCTTTTGAGATATCATTCTGTCTGTTTGAATACTGGGTTCTCTGTTCTGAGCCTTGACAGACTTAGTCATTTCCTTTATGTGTCTCTAAAGGTTCAGGTCCTAGTCATCATGACATTAAGATTTTGGCCATAATCAGTGGTTTCTAGCTGTAGTAGCAAGAAACCCATAAGCCTTTACATATATTATTCAAGACAGGACTCTGAGAGATCGTTATGGTGGGGGATCGGATTCGCAAACTATTTCACTATCTTTATTTTTTTAGGCCCCACCCTCTTACAACAAGCAGGTGGATGATCTAGTGGCTGACAAGTCCATTATCTTCCTGTCTGCCCAAATTCCGTACGGCTTTGGCCTGATTAACAGCTAGAAAACTGATCTGTAATTTTAATTGACTATTACAGGTCCCTAGGATGGTGTTTAAGTTTTGGCTATTGCAATCTTTAAAAGACCTCCTATTTTATCCTAAAGAACTCACACATATAGCTCTTCCACACCCAAAGGATACCTTCAGGAAATACATAACTTATTAATGTACTGACCACACGCATGCTAAAATATATAATCTTTTATTGGCAAGCAGCTGGCAGGAAAATGAAATAGCACAATAGCAGGAACATGTAAGCAAAATATAAAATGAAAAAACAATATCCACATAGTTCATCCCTTTAACCTGCTTCTATGCTATCTGTGAACACCAGAGACCCTCCAGTCCAAGTTTAAAGATCGCTAAAGTTCTTCCCTTTCCTAATAGGGTTAGGGTTAAAGGACATAAAAGTGCCCGTAGTTAAAGAATCACCCTTATGCAGTCCAAAGTCCAAGAGTCCTGATCTTCAGGGTGCCTCTGCTTTAAACTAAGTGGACTCATCCTGTCAGATGGTGCATACTTCCTTAGTGAATCAGTAAAACAAAAACTTTGTGTTTGCCACAAATGGTGGTATCTGTTCTTAGAGCAGGGTAAGGTACCTGAAGATATATTTTTGTACATTAGATTATTTAATGTCTAAATGTTTAATCAGATGCTTGAATCATTTACTGTGTTCTTCGGATGTCTTTTTTTCTTTTTTTTTTTTCTTTTTTTTTTTTTTACAAAATACTGTTTTACATTTGGGTAAAAACTGTGTTTAAGAAGTGGTACTTTTATATTTTCTTTGTATTCTACTAAGCTGTGGTTGATTGCTACAAATAGGGTAGTTGGATAAGGGACATTTAACTAAATATAAATGGCACAACAATTTTTACTTGATCCTGTATTTCGATTTTAACGTTATGTGGATCAGAGAAAAAAATTCCACTACGGTAGAAATTTTGTATGAATTTTTTTGGAGTTTTTTGAGTGTGTCCTATTTTGCCAATATAGTGCTGGTAATTTTTTATAAAGTAATATATGAAAAAAATATATGTTAATGTTTTTTCTATTATCATTAAACTTTGGAAATAGATTTTTAACTGTAAAAATAAAATTTACACCAACAGTAGAGAATGCTTGTACTAATTCAAGAGAACTTAAGCAGGTCTTCAGAAAAAGCATCAATATAATGTGGAAAGATGTTATACCGAAAGAGCAAATAAAATTGGTCCCCGAGTTCTTTAATATCTTCAGCTGTTGAATTTTTTAATTATCCCAGATTTAATAAGCTGCTTTGAACCCTAATACTATCTTTTAAATGTATTTTCTTGTAAATCTTTTGGTTATATTTCTGTTCAATGTTGTATGCAGATTTTGAAGAGCCCGCAGAAAATGAAGTGCCCCTTAGCGAAAATAATGAAATAGTTATTCAAGTCAAATTAATTCAATTCACTAAAATCAATTTTTTTTAAGCAGTTCATACCTTGAAGCCCAAGTCCGAAATGATCAGGAGCACGTTTCTCACAAGTGACACCATGAGATTGGACACTGCCAAATTAATGATAATGATGTCCGAATTATGTCCACCACTACGGTCCATCATCACGCTCTTTCCAATGACTCCAATCACAATAGCGTTACCCACAATTCCAATAGCCACCAAAAGGATGTAGAAGGCATTCTGTGCGGGGGACACAGGGGTGCGAAGTCCCATCCCCACAAGTTCAGTGGTTGTTTCTTGCTCCATATTTTCAGTCACTGTGTCAAAATCCTTAATATCTGAACCCATGTTACTACTTCGATCCAAATCAACTTCTACCTTCATTGTGAATGTCTACCAACGATGTTTAATTCAGCTCACCTTTCCAAGAATACCGCATGTGTTTGCAAACTAAAGATCCTTTCAATGACATCATAGAAGAAAATGACCTTCTTTGTTCCACCTACTGGCGTTTTAGCCTCCATATGGGCCACAGAAAGCCACAAAGCATCACAATGTTTTTAACCCTAGGGGGATTAAGGTGTATGTTAATGAAACACAAGAGATTAATCAACTTCCCCATGCAAAATGTGCTTGGGTTGTGACTTTATTCCTTATCCCATCACCCTGAAGGAAGCGAGGACCTTTGGGTTACTGCACGCATACACTTGCAGGACTTTTTGCTGATCAACAAAAGCCTGAGAGCTCTTTGCAGACAGATTTTTACACTTACATCGATGCTTAGTGTGCTTAAAATTGAATAAGAAAAAAACTCTTTTGGACTTTCCCCTGTTATTTTTACACTAGAACTGCTTTAAAACCAGGTAAAAAGTAACAACTGACAACATCTAAAATTGACACAATAGATGCCAATCAATGTATATAATGGTTTATTTCTTTATTGCACCGTGATATCTAAATACAAAAAGCTTCACATTTCTCTGGCATCATTGATAAACATTTCCTCAAAGCCTTAAAACACTCTTTCACATCATAATATCACATAATATCACAAAACACTTTAAAAAAAGCCAACATTTTTTATATATTTATTCAGTGCTGTCCTATATTAAACAGTTTTTTTAATCTAATTTAGTACTGAAAAAAAAATCTATAAAAAAGGTATACCCAAATTATTTTTTATACTTTAACTTACTATGGTCACAAAGTATAGACAGTTTTATTGGTAATCTATGACTTCCTATTTCCTAATGTCATGAATACGATCAATTAAGGTAGAAGGCCTGGAGGCTGTCAAAGGGAGCCCCAGAGTTCAGGAGGCCTATGGAGGTGACACAGGAACCAACAAAAGATCCAGTGACATTTCAGGGAGAAGCCTAGGGATAACAAAGGAGCTTAGAAACCAGTGAGGAGCTGAGTAGCATGGATACCAAGAAAGCCTTGCAGAGGCACAAATTGGTCGTTCTAGACCAAATTCACCAGGGGGGGCAGACTGGGGCCAGTGTATTTTCTGTGGGGCAGGAACCAAAAGTTTTATCCGCCTCACAAAAACAACCAATCATCCATCCAGCCAACCAACCTACAAAATAAAATCGCCAGGACAATAGTTTATCCCCTAGTTCCACAGGAGGCACTGGCCCCTGTCATAGTTTCAATCATTAGAAGGTCTTCCCTGTAAGGCTGTAGTCCCAAGAATCATCCATGTGCTTTTCTGTCATGCAATGACCACCTAAAGGCTAGAGGCTTTCTGGATTCATTACATCAGTCCAGAGTTCTAATCCTACTTATTGTTGGCTCCACCAAAGGTAAAGGGATATGGAACAGGGGCTAAAATTTGCGTTTGAGTTCTGATAGAGGGTAGGTTCGATAAGGATATAAAACTCGACAAAGAAATTGTTGACGAAGAGGATATATTGTTTAGGGAATGTTACTTCCATTGCGAGTGACAAATAAAAATGATTTTGTTTAATTTTACTGTAAATTTCTTTCTTTTTCCTCCTTTCAGAGGCTTTAGTCCTAAAGGTAAAACACCGGATGATTCTCTACCATCCAAACTGCTGAAGGGGTCATGGTAATTTAGTTGTTTGTTCCTAATGTTTTCTTTGAGTCTGGATACAACTTACAACAGTGACCATCAAGGTACACATGGCTTTCAAGAAGTTGCACACACAAAGCAACAGTTCTGTCTGCATCTTTGGTATAAAATAAGTCTTTAATTTGATCAGCACTATTTTAACGTTGCAATATAAAGAAACTCACTTTGCAAAAAAAAAAAGTCAGATAAACAATCTACAAGTAAAGGTGAAAAAATCTGACCAACAACCTTACAGAATGATGCGAGAAGCTTGTTGATACTGTAGCTAAAATGTGTAAGGTCTTGGTAAAACTTTAGAGACATTAATATCAGTATAAGGGGCACAAGACATTCAATAATTCTGACCTAATGCAATAAGGATTAAATACCTTTTTTTTAAACCCAGTTCATTTTTTTGATTGTTTATGTTCAAAACATAGACTCACTTATACAAACTCAGGCAGGGTATCTAAAAATGTTACCTCAGTGCTAAGTGCAAACTTAGAGAGCTTGTTCAACTAGTCAAAGCCTTTCTTATGGCTTGCTCCTTATGCATGCCCTAATTTCTGGTGTTCTTAATCAACATATCAAATGTTTATTTTAGCAGTTCATACCTTATAGCCCAGGTCTGAAAAGATAAGCAGCACGTTCCTCATTAAAGACACCATGAGGTTGGACACTGCCAGATTAACAATGATGAGGTCTGAGTTACGTCCTCCGCCATGGTCCATCATCACACTCTTCCCAATGACTCCAAACACAATGGTATTACCCACAATTCCCAGAACCACAAATATAATGTAAAAGGTGCTCTGTGCGGGGGACAAAGGGGATCGAAGTCCCATCCCCACAAGTTTGGTGGTTGTATCTTGCTCCATCTCATCAGCCCTTGTGTCAAACCTCTTTTTCTGAACCAATGTTAGTATCGCGCTACAAATCAGGCTCCACCTTCATTGCGACTGTCTAGTAATCAGGCGCAACTCAGGTAACCCTTCCAAGAAACCTATAAATATGTAAAGCCTGAGGGAATTAATCATCTCAACAGATTTCTCTCTCTTTGGAGGGAGATACAGAAGATCCCTCCTTCCTAGGGCTATAAACACCTACAAAAACTGGTTAAAAAAAAACCAAAAAAGTTATTACAACATTTAGGTTACTTTGGGATTAATAAAGTATTTTTTTTAACTGAACTTAATTGAAATATTTCCACTCCACAAGAAGTGAAGATCCCTCTAGTAACATCGGTGCAAAAAAAATGATTTCTCGTGACACTTACCTCTATATTTCAACCTCAAAATGGGGCAGAGAAAGCATAAAAAAACAGTTTTTAGCCTTTAGATTTTAAGGTGCAAGTTAATGAAATACAAGAGTTAAATCAATCAAATCATGGCAGAATGTGTTACTTTACAGTTTTACTCCTTGTATGGTCACCCTGATAGACGTTAAGATTAGCTATTTCTGTGCACATGCATGCACTTTCATAAATGTTTTCTTGAAGTCTAATAGAATTTAGAACTTTTCTCAGACTGTATTTCTTGTGTTGGTATTACTTAACAAATAAACAATCTTCCAAAAAAGTAATAATAAGCATAATTAGAACAGTTAATTAACTTTTTTGTTTTCACGGGAGCTTGTTTCTCAGTTATAAAGATGCAACTTTTCCTGCATTTATTGCCGTGCCTGGCAAGAAATTCTAAAATAGCCTTAAAATATTTATCTTTATTGCAGTAAAATAATCTCACACAGACAACTAAGAAAAACTAAGTTAAAGAAGTAAGTTTTTCAAAATGCAACAAAGCCACAGCCACACAATAAATAGCATCAATGGATTTTTTTACACTTATACTGATATTGGTTGTGCCAATAAATGTGAAACCATATATTCACAACAAACTAGCTTAGATTATGTAATACATAAAAACGAGAGCAAGCAAGAATAAGGACATCGTCAGGTCCTTTTTCTTAGTAGCTTGGTAGAACTTTGAAGCTCTGATGTATAAAAGTCCTGATAAAGTCTTCATTGCACATTATTTTATTATGTGCCTTTCACTTAGGAGGTAAATGCTGTTTACTGCGAGTGTTGAGGGCGAGGTCCATTATTACTTAACTGATTGTTAAGGTACTTACCTCATCAGGTCAACACGCTAGTAAAATGGCATCAAAACTGGGCAAGAATTATCCTTGACATAATGAAGGTCCTTCTGTTTTATAAAGATAAAGTAGCAGAACTGGGTAATGGTTAAATTTTTTTTTAAGTAAAGATGTAAGTCCTCAAGTGAAGGAGTTTAAGCATTGAGGTGTCTTGTTGAGCAATGGGAGCTCAGAGGAGAGCTGCTGCTCTTCTCCATAGGAATCAATGGAGGTTTTAAAGGGAAGTCTCATAGGCAGTCCTACAAAACACAGGAGGAGACACATATAGCTTCTGGTTTGGGGCTGCCTGGTTAGAACCCATAATGAGAAAAACACTATTGGGTGGAGTGGGCTGTCAGGGTTACCCTCTTTTTTAGGCCTGGGATTTAATGTTGAATAAAACAATAAATGGGTAGAAAGTTATTTTTAGCATTAACATTTTTTTTTAACAAAAAAAGACCCAAAATAAATAAATAAAACAAATAATAATCCTAACTTAACAAAACTTTAATGAATATTTGATTTGCACCATGTTTACTGATTTGAGATTGTGAATCTCTTCCATTGCAGTTTTCTTGTGATGAGGCCAACAACTTCTAGAAAGTGATAAAAAGGATAAACAATAAGGGTTTTGAAGTTAAACCAAGGTAAGTTATTTGTTTAAAATTAAGAAATGTAAGGACATCATAGGAAACAATCAATAGACGACCAAAAATACAATTATGCCATGAATGTGGCACTTTAGGCATTTATTTACACCAACGTTCATAGGAAAGTTCTTATTTCAGAGATATATCATATAAGCATAGATAAAAGTAAAAGAAAAAAAGAAAAAAAAATGTATTAGTTCTGAGAACAAGGGCTGTAAATCAATTTAGTCAGTGTCAGTAACCATCATCCAAAATTAAAAAAAGAAAAGGATTCACAAATAGATGCAACTAACAGAGCTTCATATTCATATTTTTCCACACGTGGTTTTCATAACTTGTAAAATTATTTATTTGTACAAGAAACATCATGACTATAATACAGATGTTAATTTCTTTTTCACCACAACTATATGTGATATAGCCACTAGATGGCAATAAAAGTGTGAGAAAAGAGAAAACAATTAAACCTGTGTTGACACCAACCTAAGGCTATTTTTAGGGGTTTCTAATATAAATATGGATTCATTCATAAATAATTAATTGCAATTAACAATGATTTTATTAAATTACAAAGAACAGAATAGTTACTGTATCTTCTAGAGAAAACTGTTAAATAACTGAAAACAAATCTAAAAGGTCACATTTTATGTTAAGATTCAGGTTTATGGGCAAGCTTTGGTGATGCAGTGGTTAGCGCACACGACCCACGTATGGAGGGCTTAGTCGACGCGGGTGATCCGCGTTTGAATCCTGCCGGTGGTCCTTTCCCGCATGTCTCTACCCCTCTCTCATACCCCCTTTTCCTGTCAGTAATAAAGAGTTTTATTTGTTTTCCTTTTGCAAATAAATATACTCTTGTCTAAATCAATCCACTGTAGCTCGGTTATACTTTGGGTGGTCTTGCAGGAAAGTACATTAAATCTCTAAACTCTTTTGGGGCTTCAAATGGTACTTCTTATAACATTTCTAAACAACTTCTTATCTGACCAGTCTCGCAGTTCCTGTAGCATATAAACATCCACACAACATGATACGGCCACCACTTTACTTCTCCATGGAGATTGCATTTTCAGCAGGATATACAGGATTAGTTTCCTGCCACAGAGTATCTTGCATGAAAGAAAATAAAATATTTGGTCTAATCCGACCAAATAACATCTTATACTTGTTTGGAATTTCCCTTGCCTTAAAGATATAGTGGTGGATGTTATTTTTCCAGGTGGATCATCAAAATAAGTGGTCCCCCATATTGTTCATCCTAATCATCCTGGAATTATGTTTACATAAGACCGTCCTACCTACTCGTCCCCATTTTAAATACTGGTGGTGAGTATGAAATAGTGGAAATCTTATGGAAATAAGCTTGTATGAGTGATTAAAACAGCAACTTTTAAACAGAGTGTGCACGAGGAGAAATGGGCTTGTGCATGCTCTTGCACGCCTATAATAGGCATTCCATATAATAGGAATTCATGAAAATCCTCCACTATACCTTTAAACAGCGAGCTTAATTCAGATAGTTACATATTTCTTTAGCACGATAAATTCTGTTTTGTTCAAAACTTCAATTACAATCTTTCACTGAAACATAATTAAATAAAATTGAACATTTTGGTAAGATACTCTGTTTAATTCCCCACCTTTTTGGTGCTCCCATGGTCTGATTTTTCCCAAATTTTGTTTTTATCAAGCCTGACTAAAACTTTCTAGAGGAAGAGTTAAGAAAAACTAGACATCATTAAGTACTCAGCACCGTATGAATATACCTGCAGTAACTGAAATAAAAGAGCCTGTCAGCCCAATTAATCACTGTTTGTCCTGGCCGTGCAGCAGATCCCCTCTCCTCGACCAAAGCTGTAGAGAGGAGAGACACACACTCGGCTGTTGGAGGCAAGGTCGGTGAGTCGGGTTGAAAGGGTGGAAGGGGGAAGGTAGGCTGAGGAGAGAGAGTGTTCTGACTGGGAGCTCTGGGAGCTTTTTTTCTTCCAGTTGATCCAGTAACCTTTTAACCCTTCTGTGTTGGCCTGCCAGGTTGCCTGAACCTCGTTCCCCTCGGGTCGATCGATCAGGGCCAGCTGAAGGTCGGTCAGGGGAGGCAGAGGTGCTGCATAAAAACAGACAGAATACAGAGTCATTTTCTTTACTGCCTGTTAGAAATGTACCTTTGGGTAAAGCAGCTTCAAGTGTGGATGTTGAGGAAACAAAACATTTAATGTTCAAAAAGCTCTAATGAACTGAAAGAACTGCACCAACCTTCTTGAGTGCAAGCTGTTACAGACATGGCCCTCTCTTTTCCATCCACATAAAGAGCGCTGACTGTGATCAGGTACCGAGTGCCTGGATCCAGGTCCCTCAGAAACACAGAACTTCTCTGGTTGCTTACAGTCACAGTTTGAACATGTCCACTTGGGATTGCTCCGTACTCCACTCTGTATCGTTGTACCAGAGCTGGCTGCAGGGGGCCCCAGGTGACACGGACCTGATGGGGACCGTGGTCCGACAAGGTAACCTCCGCTGGACTAATAACATCTGAGAACATGACAAGATACCAATGAGAAGACAACAAACAGATAAAACAAGAGCCAACTTTCTAAAATCCTAAATGAAAAAAACAATTAGACTTTTAGAGGTTAAAGATATTTCAGATTTAAATTTAAACTGTCAGTGGGGCTAAATTAGGCTAAATTTGAATAAAATCTAAGTGTAGAGGAAGCATAAAGAGCAAAATCAGTGGCAGAGAGAGACCAAATCTACTGTTGGGGGTCTTCATTTAGCATTGAATCAAAGAATAAAAAAAATATACAAAAATTAAAGAAAAATAGTGCTATAGTTAAAGGTTAACATAATAATTAAGTCAGTCAGTCAAAGATAGCCTCTGGAGCTGCAGGTTGCAGACCCCTCATCTATCAGATGAAAACTGAGATCCCATCTCAAAAATAAGTGCAACAGCTTATTTTTTTATTTTCATTTTATTTTGTTTGTTTGGATTTAAAGTATTGTTAAAGTAAAATTGTAAAGGTGAACGCAAGTAAGTAAAAGTTTATCAATTTAGCACCCTTCACAGACATTGAGCAACACAAAGTGCTTTATAAAAGGTGCACAATTATATAATAAAACAAAACTGCATTGTTATAGGGGACCAAATAGTTAAGGTTTCTGAAGCAATGCATATTATCACATGAAACTGATTCAGTATTATGTCTTCTTCAGCTGGCCCCTGTATAGAACTGCCCATAAATTTTAATTATCACAAAAAAAGACACAAACTGGGTTTCCAAAATCTCTATCTGCTGGATGGAGTCATTGATTGATGTTTCACTGTTGAGAATACTGTGTTACTATTGTCAATGTTGCTAACTTTGTTTGTTTATTCCAATAAAAATGCTCTCCAGACTCACTGATCTGTGACCTTGATAAAGTAATTGACCCAAGTTCTTGATTTTCTTTTAATAAGTAACATTTTATAATCTAAATGAATCTAAAGTAATTAAAAAAATGCTGATTGTAAACCAACCACTTGATTAGTAAAGGTCATAATTAATGTACTCAGCAATTTTAGTTAATATGAAAAATGAACTTTTAAGATCTTGATTAGGCTAAATCCATATAAATCAAGCAAAATGCTAAAATACAGCTATTCAAGCTACAGAGGGATTCAGCCAGATGGACAAGTAAAAGGTCTGCAATATGTACATAAGTATTTGTTGTTTTTTTTGGCTTAAAATGTTGTCAGAGTGTTATCAAGAACTTTATATATAAAAAAAACCAACACTGAAATACTTTAGTTTAGGACATTACTTCTTATGTTCTCATGTGATTAGAGAGGATTAAAAAACAAACATGTATTAAAAGTGAAAAACCTTTTCTAACAGGAAGCGTGGTGAACTTCACCGACAGTGTCCTGAACAAAATTTGGTTGGACTCTGGGCGGAGGGAAGCCGTGTACATGGTGTCGGGCTGCAGTCTGGTCAGCTCTGCTCGGCTGGAGGTGCTTGGAAGAACCTTGGACTTCTCAGGGTGGCTTTCACCCACAGCTTTATACCGCAGTTCATAATAACCGCCATCAGAAGAAAGAACAGGATGCCACTGAAGTACAGCACTATGGGAGGTCAGGTGAACCACGCTCAGTTGTTCGGCACATATGATTTCTACACAAATTATAAACAAAACAAAAAAATAAAAATCATAAGAGAAAGAAGGGATAAGTGATAAAATAAGCTGAATAATTGTTAAAAATGAAATATACTTATAACTATATCTATTTCTTACTATTATATATTTACACACACATACTGATGATGGCCTCTCTCAGGTCGTCTGTGATGATGTCGATGCTATCTATGTCCACAGAGTACAGATGGGACTCCAAAGGAGGAGTCGCCACACGTTGCAAAACGTTGTAGTCGCCATGAATTGTAGAAACAATTAACACATGAACTCCCTGAGCCTTCAGCTTAGACATGGGCTCCTCCACTTCTCCAGGCTGAATACCATCTGTCAGCCACAGCAGCACTTTGGGCACATCCCCCTCTACCTCCAACAGCAGCTGATGAGCCATTTCCACTGCCGCCTTCGTGTTGGTATCTCCTTGCAGCCGTCTGACACTCTCCAAAGCTCTAAGCAGACTTTCCAGGTCGCTGTGGATGTCCAGGCTGAACTCCAGGTGAGGGGTGGTGGCCACAAGCAGTAGGGCCACTCTGAGGTGTCCTCGGCCCAGCGCAAATGGGTACAGGAGGTTGGCGATAAATTCCAGAAATCGAGAGAATTCAAATGATGTCACACTTCCAGAGGAGTCTAGTAACAGTAGAATATCCCCTTCACAGCTGTATAACCCTGAAAAGGACATAGAAAAGAAAACAAGGATAAGGCAAGAATAAGAAAAATATAAGAATGAGGCAAGAATAAAAAAAATAAGGTTATAACTATATTAAGGTCGTTAGGAAAAACCAAAATAAATTAAATCAGGAAAAATGGCTGATATTACACAGATGTAGGCTTATTATCCTCAAGGCACTAGATTGTTGTGGTAAAAGATAGATTTTATTAGATCAGTTAAATGTTTACAGGGGCTGTTTGAAAAGAAAGATGTTTCTTTGTCAAGGTCTAACATTAAAACACAGTAGTTGTTTTTTATTAGTTATTTTTCTTTGCTAGAATAATAAGAGAGCAAGTTTATTTCAGAGCATTTTAATTATATTTTAGACCATTTAGATCTTTTAGAACATTTTGATTTTAAATTAACATGCATGGCTAAATCGGACATATTTACATGTTCAATCTTGACGTAAGCATTTCAATGAATATTGCTCCATTTCAAATAAAAGAATAGAATTATTAAAATTTGTGTAAACTTAAACCCAAATGTATTAATTTCTCTTGCAGATTCACGTTTAAAATAATGCTTCTCTCTCCCGCACACAGGTAAACTTTCACCTAACTCCACTTCTTCTCCTCCCTCACTCTCAGTTCCAATCACCTTCTGACTTATTCCATCATCAGTGTCCGTGGAGAAGAATACTCTAATCCTTTTCTAGATTACATATCCAAGGAAATTTTTTTTTAAACTTTTTTATTTTCAGTACACTATCACAAGTACAGAGCAACAAAATAAACTCTGTTTTTAGCCCATCCCCTTGGGAAGCATTGGGCTGCCATTGTGCGGCCTTGCTGAGGGACTGAGAGTGCAGGCTGTGGGGACCGAACAGGGTACTTACAACCTTCTCAGAGCACAAGCACACTGCTAACCACTAGGCCAACACTCACTTGATTCACTGCATCGAAGTATTCTGCCCGGGCCTGGCGCCAAAAAAATTATTTCATTTATTTCATTATCTAAATTTGTCTCCTTGAACCCCAGTCGGCCTCAGCAGATGGCTGCACACACTGAGCCTGGTTCTGCTGGAGGTTTCTTCCTGTTAAAAGGGAGTTTTCCTCTCCACTTTCCTCTCACTACATGCATGCTTGCGGTGAGGGACTGCAGAGATTCAATCAGTTTTTTTTTTTTCTGTTAGAAACATTTTGATAATCTGATTACGTTACCTGTATAAATAAATTGAATAATACTTCTCTAATTACAGCGTTTCTCTGAGCAAGTCTCTCCAGGTTGAAATTTTGATTGTTAGTGTGTCCATCATCTACATAAAAAAAACAAATAATCTTGTTAGGATGCCGTCTTGACTTGGAGAGAGTGAAATAATCCTCAATAGAACAAAAAGGGTTGAAAGGCCACTAATAGAGAACGAAGTCATTACTCCAAAAATAATGTAAAGGCGCCATTGTTTTTCTTTTACACCTAATTGTATTTTAATTGTATTTTAATTATTACAGAGTCGTCTATGAATATGGAAGAGCTTCCCCTGCAATCTTTGGTAAACATATGTCTATATTCATTTTTATCAATATCCGAACATTACAAAAAATTTTATTGATTCTTTAAGAAAATGGTAAAATCATCTGAAAAAATCTAAATCTCGCTTTAGCTTAAAAAAAATGTATTAGCTGCAGATGAAACTGATTTGAATTGTTTAAACAGTGAGATTGGTTATGAAATAAAAATCTTATTTAAAGATACTTGTAGTTTTTACATTTGTTTAAAATGTATAAAAATTACCCTTAGAAATGTTTACACAGCTTGTTTGCACAATAATTTGTCTTTAGGTGTGTTTAAGAAAGCAAAAACATTCTTTAAATAAAACAACATTAGCGTGAGTATAACATCTGTGGGGAAAATGCCGAGTGGAAGAAAGTGTGAAAACTCTACATGCTTTCTAAAGAGTGAAACACTACATGCTTTCTGGTGCAGTTATTTATAAAGATGCAGAGGAATTTCCCAATTTTGAAGATAGGTGCAGGTCAATGTGTTTGAGATATGTGCAGATTTCATCAGTCAGATACTTGGCCTCAAATGGTGCCCATATGCGACAGAGGACACAAGCAAAGATCAATGAAAAATATGTTAATGTATTCCGTGAAGCTCACAGGGTGTCCTTTGAAAGTCTGAAACCAGTAAATCCTCC